TCCTCCTCCTCCTCGCCGCCCTCCCCCTCCCCCTCCGTGGACACCTCCTCCGAAACCTCGCTGTTACTTTCCGTGAAGACGAGCTCCTCCTCGCTCTCCTCTTTGTCGTCTTCTGCAACCTAAAGAGCAGGGGTCACGGTTAAGTTTGTCGTTCCCGAGCACGTTCGCTAAGTTTACAAAGTGACAGACGTGGCTTCACGGCAGGGAAGCCCTGGAGGGCGCGGGCCGCGATCTAACCGGCCTTAAAATTTCCCACCCGTGGGCGTGAACATTCGCCGCCTGCCAATTATAAAATGCTTGTAACCAAGATTTGCTTCTAATTAAGTTAGCGGGTTATTTTTTCGTTATTAATTCAGTTATTTAGAGCAAATTTTGGCGAATACGCCATACGTTGGGAAAAACACTGTAGCCGTTTCGTGGACATAAACATTACATGTTGACAACTGTAGTCTGCATATTTGAATCCAAGAGTCCCCGCTTGTGAACAGCGTTGGGGAAATGATTAGCACGGGGTCACACGGAAGCGTGCAAGGTGACTGGTTCTGTTGTCCTGTGGGTGACTTCCTGCGGCAGCTTTAACACCTGCCGGTCGATGTTGCGACACGTGCTAAGCGGTGCCCCAAGTGGGTGCATGTGTTTACTCAAGGGACAGGTGAACCCACGCATTTACTAGACCTCTTCAGTGTAAACTTAAAATTACAGTAATACATATAGAAAACTTTTCTGTGAAATTAACCTTTCATATGTACTTAATTTTAAGTACACAAACATGTCTGCATAAGTAAAAACAAGTAAACTAATTGGTCAAATTTTTAGCATATGTATTCGGAAAATTTACTTTATTATATAACCAACTTCTGGCTTTAATGGACACCCCCTTGCCCAAATTAGTCCATTATATCGAGGTTTTACTGTGTGTGCATATATATATATATATATATATATGTATAATATTTATACACATATATACATATGCCACATCATTATGTTGTACACATAAAATTAATACATTATTGTATGTCAATTATATCTCAATAAATAAAAAAAGAAAGAAAAAGTAACACATGGCAAGTAATGCAAAAGTATATAAGGAGAAAAGTTAATCTCCTATGTGACCAACACTAACATTTCATTGAATAACTTTCAACAGCTTTTTTAAAAAAAATTCTTTTTAATTGATTTCAGAGAGAGGAAGGGAGAAGGAGAAATAGAAACATCAATGATGAGAGAGAGTCATTGATCCGCTGCCTCCTGCACGCCCCCATGTGCCCTGACCGGGAATCCAACTGTCACCTCCTGGTTCATAGGTCGACGCTCAACCACTGAGCCACACCGGCTGGGCTCAACAGCTTTTTCTACAAACGTTTCTTTTGTTTTCTGCAGAATAAATATTCAGAACTCAATTTATTGAATTAAAATTTACTATCATTTTGCCACTTTGAACAAATAAATTGGAACTTCAGCTTTGGAAAACCCTTGATAAATTTTTTATCCTCTTCACTACTTACTCTGAACTGCTTGACACCTCGTTTTACTTACTTACAATTTAGAAAATTCAACCCTCCCCTCTGGAATCACCCCTCACCCCTTTGTCCTTGCTTACTTCTCCATCCCAAACAAACAAATGGCAACAAAAACATACAACATGTTACTGGCTTTCTTTCCTTGAAAGTTCAAAACTTTTCCTAAAAACTGTCTCTCAGCAGATGTGACAGGAGCCAGGTGCTGTCTGCCTCGGCCTGGCTCAGTGTAGACAGAGGCAAGGGCGTCATTTGCTTCTCCAACATTTGTCTCCCTCTGGGGTAGAGCCTGGCGCAGGTTCTCCGAGCCCCCACACCACCTGTGAGCTGTTGCTGACCCTGTCCCCGCTCAGGAGAAAGCAGCTCAGGGAGCAGGGCTGCTGTCAGGGCAGCAACAGGTCAAAGCTCGGCTCTGTGCAGGAAAACATTGAGGTCACCCTTTTCAGCAAATCAACTTGAAATCTCACGCTAGCGCCAGGTTAAATGAGACGGACTGCAGAAACTAGACTCTAACTGTAATGAGGAACAGCGGGGAACAGGAGAAAATCTTGAAGCAAGCCATTGCCTCAGCCCGATGGTCTTAAATTATTTACCGTGTATCAATTATGAAAGACTTTCAGGCAAACACAATTTCGTTCTATTTTTGTCTCTTCTGTTTACAAGACTCTGTACTAAGAAGTCCAATTGACTCCTGTCTTTGTCTTGCTATCTTTTCTGTTTTTTTTTTCTTTTTAAAAAAAGCCCTTGCTGGCCTGGCCTGGCTCTGTGGTTAGGCATCAGCCAATGCGTCAAAGAAAGGGTCACAGGTTCAATCTCTGATTCCTGGTCAAGGGCACATACCTGGGTTGTGGGTTTGCTCCCTACCCCTGTTGGGCCATGTGCAGGAGGAAACCTCACATTGATATTTCTCTTTCTCTTTTTCTCTCTACCTCCCTCCCCTTCTACTCTCCCCGAAAAGCAATGGGAAAATATATATATATATAATAAATTGGAAATTGCTGACAGAGTTCAATTTTCCCATGTTTCTCCCCTGTCCCCAAAGGATTCTTCCCTTTACATTGGCAACTTTTTTTTTTACCCTGAGGGCTCCTACTGCCTGAGGCATGTGGAATGAGCTTTGGATAACACTGTGCTTGTCTCCAAGTTTGTTTGCCCAGTTGCTATCACAAAATAGCCTCCAGTTATCCACTTGTTTGGAGTGGCAGGCACCAAGTGATGGCCTGGGGAAGGGGTCAGCCACTCCTGGGATGGCTTGTCTAGTCTTAATTTACTCACTTCTTCAAGATCAGGAGGGATAGGGACACTGTGTGTGTGTGTGTGTGTGTGTGTGTATGTGTGTGTGTGTGTGTGCATGTTTAGCTGTTTCCATATTTGCAGGAAAGGGGCCTGTCTCAAAATTCAAGGTATAGTGCCTTCAATGCCACCCTTAAATTTTATCCACTTTGGTTTTAAAGAACTTTAGGCTTTATCTGCAAGAGATGCCCCTCAAAACGCACTTTCTCCCAGAAAGCTTTCTTTGACACCACCTGAAATCATCTTTGCGATGCAATCCCACGGCATTGCACTCCCCCCTAAAAAGTGCCTATTTTAATAAGTTGTTTGTCATTTTTCCCAAAATGCTGTTAGCAGGGTGAAGATAGTGATCATGTCTGTTTTGTTCACGTAGCTCAGTTCTCAGCATGTAGCAGGGACTCAAAAAATATTTGCTTACTGAATGGATGTAAAATGACATTGGCTAACAGCCTCTGAGTCAGGACTAGGCCTAGGAGAAAAGTACTGACAGGGCTGGGTGGAGGGTAAGGTACTGGTTTGCCTGGGACTGAAAACTAGCCTAGGAAGCAGGGTTTTTGGTTCTAAACTCTAGATAGTCCCAGACAGTCTGAGGTGGTTGGTCACCCTAGGTGAGGGGACATCTAGGAGAACAACAAAAGGGAGAAAAGTGTTTAGAGAGGGGAGGTAAGAGGATGCAAAAAAATCTGCCTACTTTCTAAATTATTTCAGATCTCCTATCTGCCACTGCTCTGGAGTTAACCCTGATCCTTGTGAGAATGGGGGTGGGCAGGTGGGGATGCAGTGAAGCAGTGATGTGTACCGTTTCTCGCCATCACCTCCCTGGCACCATTACATGATCAGGGAGGCAAGAGGCTTGGTCTCCTGTTCTGTTCTGGGTCTACCTGTAAAGAGCTGGTTGACTTCAGACAAGTCCCCTCTGCAGGGGGTGGGGCTTCTCAAAGAAACTCCAGGATAGTTGAGTGGTTCTCAAACTGTAGTGTGTGTCATAATCACATGCAGGGCTTGTGAAACCAAAGAATGCTGGGCCCCACTCCCAGAATCCCTCGTTCAGCAGCTCTGAGAGAGGGTAGAATTAACAGTTCTGAAGAGTTCCCAGATGATGCTGATGGTCGGGCACCCACATTTTGAGAATTGTGGTCTTTGTGCCAATAGAACTTGGTTTGAATTTCAGCTGCTTTTAAATTGTTGTTCTCAAATGTGTTTGTTTGTTTTTTAATTAAACACTCAAATATGTTTCTTAACCTCTCTTAATACTGAGTTGTCATGTGCATAAGGTAAGAATTCAATGAAATAATGTGAGTGTGCGCAAGCTAGGGGAGCTAGAGCCTTGGTCTCCAAGGTCCCCTGGAGGTATTTAGTGTAACATAACTTTGTGTGAACCCAGGGGGCAGAGGCTGTCATTCAACAGGAGTTGAACATGATTTTCATAAGTTTTTATAGAGCCAGTAGCCTGATAACAAAGACCCCCATCTCCTCCTCCTGGCAGTTACGGTGCTGCTCCTCACTTACGCTGCCATCCCCCACCCACCCATCATCCGCTTTAAGCTTTTTCCTGTGGTGGGAATGGATTTACACTCTCCATCAGCGAGCTTCTGCTCCACACTCCTTGTGACTACAGAGACAGCTGGCCAACAAGCAAAGCGTAGCGGGAGAAAAATTAACTAGCCAGAAAGGAATCAAAGTTCATCAACACAGCAGCCTCTCTAATTGACTTGATAAGCCATTGGCAGGGATCAGCAAAAACTTTGGCAGGATCAGGTGAGTTCCATCAACAGCTGACAACAGGCTTTGCCCTTTGTTTCCCACCAATCTCAAGACATTATGACATTAAAATGCCTTTGTTGGGTTACTGTTACAATGACTGTCTGTCCTGGATCTTCTGAGTCAATTTTAACCTTTTTATTAAGGAAATTCTTTAATAACTATAATAAAATGTCATATTTTATGTATTTTAAAACACATTCCCACATCAGGAAAAAGAAAAAAAGACCTCTAAAAATTATGATTGTGGAGGAATTGACCCTAAATCCTGGCCAGCCATGTGTGTCCTTCTTTATCACCTCCCCCTCTAGCTCTTCCACGCAGCGGCCACCGTGGCCTTGGCAGACACTAGCCTGATCCCAGTGACCCTTCCTGCAATGATTGACATGGACAAAGCTCACACGTATCTTGCTACAAATGTGGCCCACACAGCCTATCATCAAGATCATCTAACAGCGCCTAGATTAGTACTGTGGAAGTCTTTACTGTTGGCTTCAAGCCATTTTGGTTTTAGATGATTCCAGTGGAGTACAGAGGTTTTAAACTATCGCTCCTGACCTGTGTTCTTCCAGAAATCCAGAAATTGGTTATATTAACATTACTATTTTCCCAGAGTGTAGTCGTTTGAACTCCTTTTTTTAATGATTCATTTGGCAAATTTAAAGAAACTGTTTACTGGGCAGAGAACAAAAGCTTGATAGACCTGTGCTCTAATATAAGTACATTTCCTGGCCTCAGAATCACTTTGTAAAGTAGGAAGAAATCTTAGAGGCCATCTACACAGGCATGCTTAACCTGGGCCCTCGTGTGGGTTTTGGATGCATGTCATCATTCTGAAATTCTGCGTAGAAGTTTGTGTGTGTAGGCACAAGTACACATGCATTTTCTTAAGGAGAAGGTCCTTAACTTACCAGAACCTCAAAGGGGTTTTGGTTCACACACACATGATAAAACCACTGGCTCCCACTCCCTCAACGGACAGATGGGAAAGAGAACCCTGCAGAAGTGACTCTCTGTTCAGAGTCTAACAACTTAGGGACAGAGAAGGGACTAGAAATAAGGTCTCCTGACCCTCAGTCCCATGTAATTTCCTACCACTCCACACTTCTTCGCATTGGAAAAAAAAAGTATTTTTACTGTTGCCACCATCACCGTCAAAGCAACAAGAAGACCCATTTTTGTCTTTATAGAAGAAAATAAATTTACTTAACTGATATATATATACACATATATATACACACACAGATATATGTAATATGTATATATATATGTATAATCTCAGAAACAGATACTATGCCACATCCTCAACTTGTAACTCAAATCAGGCTTCCATTTGGCAAAATATCTAAACCTACGCTTTACTTGTGAATTGTTTTCTTCTTGAAGATTCCATCTTTACTTAGCCAGTTACAGGGCCCCGGCCCGTCCTTTCACATATCACTGCCGCCTGGGTGGCCATGCACATGACGCGGCTCCTCCAGCCTGAGGCATTTTTCAGCAGCAGGTTGGAAGGCGGAGAGGGCCGGCCGGGG